GGGGGGGGGAGAAGGATGAGAAACTCTCTTTTACCCATCCACATTCATCTGTGATCTCGCCATCATTTATTATGCTTGTGATTGACTGATCGTTGTTGTTGTTGTTGGTGTTTCTTGATGTCGCGTGCGCAAGGATTTCGCGCAGGGATTTTTCTTTTTGAGACAATTGCAGGTCCGAAACACTGGATGTTGGGAACTTGCGCGTGGTCTTACTGGCATGGCATCATGGTATGGGTGATATTGAACAGAGAGAGCGATTGAGATTTCTTCTGCGAGAGAGGAAAGTGCAAATGGTGGTGCTAAAAGGAAAGAACGTGAATGATGATGATGATGATCCGCCGCCGCCTCTATGATAAAAGGAGATGGATCCTGTGCTTTGATGATGAATGAAGATGGTGAAATTCCCGCAGACATGGGATGGGATGGGAGGGATTCGAGAGTGTGCGGGAAATTTATATTGACGAATACGGTCTAGCGCATGTCGGAAATAGCAGAACTGCTGCATGTCACCATGTGTTCCATGTTGAAGTCGAATTTGCTGGTTTTATTTTTAAAAAAAGAGAGAAAAAGAAAAGGAATGCAAGAAATTGTCAAGCATTTACCAAGACATGCGAACGATGTGATGGAGTCTGATTGCAAGAGGACCGATTTGGCGATTCCGTCGGCTGTTTCGTGTATTTGATGCTGGAATGAATTGAACGTATGCTGCCACTGAGGCACTACAAACTGTGGCTGGCATGTTGGTGGTCTTTTCCAATGGAGATGATGATAATCGTCATTCATCATGTCTGAAGCCTCGTCTCACACTCATGAATCGAAGGCACTGTAGTGGTTCTATTGGAGCCTGAGCATGCAATTCGCCTTTCGAGAGGAGAGCGTGCTGGCAATAGCGCGGCATCAAGAGCTTCTGTGTGAGGACTTGGAAGAAGGCCAGCAGTATGCTCTGCTCAAGTGGTTGCAGTAAGACATGTATAGACTGCCATTGCCTGCCTCAGGCGGCTGCACCACCATACCCGATCAAAGCCTGTCGTCTTGCGACTTCAGCTCTTCCAGTCGCTTTCGCACAACTGCTCCCTTCTCTTCGCGCAAGCTGTTGAAAATCTGTAATATGGTCAGCTGGAGCAATATAGGATGGACAGCGGTTGGGGCATTCCCTACCCAGAACCACATGGCGATTTCGAAGAAGCCAAAGCTGAAAACGAGACTGTTTTGAAGCGGCTCGCCAATGCCAATAGCTGCAGCAGATCCAGACCCGAAAACCCCATCCTCCTTGAAGAGGTAGACGTAGCCCGTTAGGCCAAATAGGAAGGTTAGGCGTACAGGTACGTTGGAAAGCCAGTATTCCAGCGCTGTGTTCTCGTTCATGTTGGCTGCTGTGAGATCTGCCACTCCCAGAAAGGCCAGAATCACAGCGATGAAGGCAGTGGCTTCACTCGGCTTGTCCATGGACGTAGCATGATTCTGGAAACGGTCAGATGCGTGTAAAAGGGCATTGAAAGCAAGATATATATTCGTACTATCCGCATGGATTCTCCCAAGATGTATACCACATTCTGATCGGCCAAGACTCGTGGCGCGGTGAGGAAGAAGTAGGCAGCGGTGATGTGGAACAGCGAGATGGTCCTGATCAGCGTATATGGAGTGAAGATGGCCATGATCTGGTGTCTTTAGGAGGTAATTGTCGATATGTAGGACATCCCCACTTGGAACTACCACATACCTCTAACCTCCAAGCACTGTTTTTCGACATATTGGCTATCGGACACTCATGGATCTCGGCCCGATTCTCCGATATGCACCATGCACCGACCCACCTCACGCGCTTAACAATCAACGAGATCCAGCGGAAGACAACAGACACCGTTCTCTTAGGGACGTACATGTACATGTCACCGTTTGGACTGTCGCGCACCATCAACACGAACGAGCAACACCAACATCAACGTCCAGTGACCATGACAGGCCCCGAAAAGAGACCACCACTCCCACGGCCCAGTCCGCAGCTCCTCAGAGTGGTAGAAGGCTCCAGGTCCAATACCAAAACTCTCCTCCAACTCATCCTGATCCTGACTCTGGTCATTTCTGGTATTTATTCGACTCTGACTCACCCGGTGTACATGTACATGTCGTAGTATTAAGAGGAGAATCTTGGCATCTGACCGACAACAGGCTATTGCACTTTCGACCCCGACAATCTACGCCGTTACCTTCCCGAGGCCACAAGTACTACACCCTCCGAGCTGACGGGAGTGAAGAAGATTCTCGCAGAGAATCCACTCATCGATGGTCACAATGACCTGTTGATTCTGCTGCGAAGCGTATATGGTACGATACCTCATCACATCATCACCATCGTCCTAGTGTCCTAACAGTCCAATCTGACCTTCCCAACCCATCTCCCTAGGAAACAAAATCAATACTTCCAACTTCACTACCCTCTTCACAGAAGGCACTCTTGCGGGCCACATCGACATCCCCCGCGCCACAGCCGGCCAGCTCGGCGGAGCCTTCTGGTCCGCATTCGTGCCCTGTCCCGCCAACGGCTCCGACTTCAGCGATGCCGCCTACGCGCCCTACGTCAAAGCGACTCTCGAACAAATCGATCTCTTCAATCGAATCTCGCAAAAGTTCCCCAAATACTTCACCTTGCCCTCCAACGCCGCCGAAGCCGAAGCCAATTTCGCAGCTGGAAAACTCATCTCCCCGCTCGCGATTGAGGGTCTCCATCAAATCGGCAACTCTCTCGCCACTTTACGCCTCTACCATAAGCTCGGTGCGCGATACGCCACTCTCACGTGGAATTGTCACAATCGCTACGCTGACGCCGCAGTCGTTTCCATCAATGGAGTTTCTCAACGTTCCACACCTTTCTGGGGTGGCGTCAGCCCCGCAGGACAAACTCTCATCAAAGAAATGAATCGTTTGGGTATGATTGTCGATCTCAGCCACGTCAGCCCGGATACCATGCGCGACGTCCTCGGCGGGAGCAGCAACAGTAGCACCAACACCAACAGCACCGCCTGGACAGGAAGTCTCGCACCACCCATCTTTAGCCACTCCTCCGTCTACTCCATCTGCCCTCACCCCCGCAACGTCCCGGACTCCATCCTCGACCTCGTCCGCCTGCGAAACTCCCTCGTAATGATCAACATCTCCCCCGATTTCATCTCCTGCGAAGAAAACCCTTCCTCTCCCACCGGTCTACCCACCTACATCGATTCCACAAATACCATTGAGCAAGTCGTCAAACACATCATGTACGTCGGAGATCGCATCGGATATGATCATGTCGGATTAGGGACGGATTTCGATGGAATTGAAAATACACCGAGAGGAATGGAGGATGTTTCCAAGTTTCCGGATTTGATCGAGATGTTGTTGGAAAAGGGCGTGAGTGAGAAGGATGTCATCAAGGTCGCTGGAGGGAATTTGTTGAGGGTGTGGCGGGAAGTGGATCGTGTGGCGGAGAAGTTGCAGGGGGAGATGGAGCCGGCGGAGGATGATGTTGGGGGGGAGATATAGGGGGGAAATATTGGTTTGAACTTTTTTTGGGATTGGATGAGAGGAGAGAGAGAGAGAGAGAGAGAGAGAGAGAGAGAGAGAGAGAGAGAGAGAGAGAGAGAGAGAGAGAGAG